CCCTAACCTAGACATTCATCATTCTGAAACAACTAAAGCAAACGACTCTCCTAAGGTCTTCCCCCAAAGAGGCTAATAGCCAGTATTTTTGCATAATTCCTTTGCCCATTTTATGCTGCAAGCCTCTCATCTATAAAACAACAAATCTAAAAGTATAAATGTCTGGTACCCAGTAGTATATTCCATGATCAGAAAGTTTCTCTTAATACTATACTTTTCTTGATGTCTTTTTCATGTTATCTGTGTGCTTTACAGCTTCCATATTATGTGCTACATACTTGACTAAACTACATTTTTCCTCATATATTCTTCAGATCTAGAATATAGATATGTACTAATACAACCACATAATGTTAGCAATGTAGATATATATATGAATTTCCTAATAAACAAACCCCATGAAAGCAGAAACCGCGTCTATTTTTGCTTACCCCTTTATGCCTGGCACCTATCACAGTATAACAGCTTAACAAATATTTGCTGAATGGATTACTGACAGGTATGAAATGGACCTACGGCAGTTATTCCTAATATCCATTTTAAACATATATAAAAATGGAATTCTGATGCTCTTCTCGGCTCATCTGCCAACCTTCCTCCAATCTGCTCCTCTTCATCTTCCAGACTTCAGTAAATGACATCATTTTTAAACTAAACTGCTTAAGGTAAAAATCTACATGTAATCTTTAATTTCTCTTCTATCTCCACCACCATTTCATTGTAATTCACCACTATCTCCTGCTTCAACTACTGCAGAGCGCTTCTAGTTGACCTGCTGTTACTCCTACCCTACAATTACTTTTTTTCATTCAGCAGCCAGAGTGATCTAAAATATAAATCAAAGCTTACATCTTTTACAGAACAGTCTATTGGTTTCTTTCTGCACAAGGAATAAAATCCATAATCCTTATGTGGCTTTTTGTAAGACTCAGTATTGTTAACCCTAGCCTGCTCTCCTGTTCACTATGGTGCAACCATACTGGTTCCTTCTTGCCTATGGGTCTCTTCACTCTTTGGTCCTTATTCCTTTTTTAGACTTTCAGTCTACAGATTTTGTTTGTGAACTTTACCTTCTCAAAGAGGCCTCTCTTGTAATCAGTATGTAAAGAATCTCTCTCCCTCTACTCACAAGATTCTGTTATTAGCTGGTTTCCTTCACAGCATACTTATCACTATCACAAATCATTTTATTTATCTGTTTACTGTCTCTCTCCTTTGGTAGAATGTAAGCTCCTTAAGAGTAGCACTGTACTTAGAACAGTGCCTGACATATAGCCAGCACTCAATATATTTGTTTGAACAAATAGACCTTTGTAGGATGTTTTGCTCTTAAAAATCACATTTAAAATAATAGTGCAAGGGAATATAAGGGAAGGGAGAAGAAATGTGTGGGAAATATCAGAAAGGGAGACAGAACATAAAGACTCCTAACTCTGGGAAACGAACTAGGGGTGATGGAAGGGGAGGAGGGTGGGGGGTGGGGTGAATGGGTGAGGGGCACTGAGGGGGGCACTTGACCGGATGAGCACTGGGTGTTATTCTGTATGTTGGTAACTGAACACCAATAAAAAATAAATTTATTATTTAAAAAAATTAAAAATAAAAATAAAAATCACATTTAAATTATACAAAAACCACTTCCTCGACATTGTCACACTTTCTTCTAGAAGAGGCACACAGTGAAAAGTATGGTTATTGAGACTGCTTAAATCTATAGATATGAGATAGGACTTTTAGCAGCATACCAGGATAAACTGTCATATCTGGTCTATTACTAATCTTAGCTCTTTCCACAATGTGGGCCAAGATATGTCTTTGGGAAGAGAATCTGCTTTCTATTACTTCCCTCCAGATAGGCGTTTGCTTTTTCTAACTTAAAATTCACTACATGCTTTTTCAGGATCCTAGGCTGACTATTACATAATTCTTAAATGCCAACTTATTGAAATTTAGCCCTTAATGTTTCATCTTACCCTCTTTTGTATCATTACAAAACATCTTAAATAGATGCCATGACACATAGATCCTGAGACTACAGCATAGGGTCCCTATCCTATACTTCAAAGAAAACATCAGAAATGAGGGGCGGGGGGCAGTGCTGGGACTGGAAAGTACACTAGGATAGGAAGAGTGGCATTACTCTAATGTAGAAGATAGAAGATTGTGCCCAAACTTCACAAGAAATAATAATCACTGAGCAAGTAATATCATTCTCTCACCTCCACCCCCAAGAATAGCAATAAAAATCCCTAAGAACAGATAAGACTTGTAAGTAAAGCCTTATACCAGAGCATACAGGGTACCCAGCCTTGAAAAGGAAAAAGAAGACTGTCTGATCAGGAATAAAAGTCAGGCCTTCGCTGAAACACAATTTAATACTGTGTTCTCAATTTTTATTTAGGATTGAAGAACATTCCCCACACTTCCTACAAATACACAATGGAAGCTTTTGTCCATTGTATTAGTCAATGTCCTTTACGTAAGGACCAGGCAATATATGCTTCCTAGAACTTAGTACAAAGGACAAATATGACTTTTGGATCAAACTTGGAATTTTTCTTTTTATCAAACGATCCAAACTGTATGTTGTCATGGATTTTTAAAGCTGGAAGCCTTTAGAAATTATCTAGCCCAGAATATTCTCAAGTGTTCTTTAGGTATCGTGAGCAAAAAAAGGAGTTCCATAAGCAAACAAGCTTCTCTCTTTCTATAATAATACTGAGATATAAATCATGTTAAATTAATTAAACAAGGAGGTCATTAGACTGAGGCGGTTTTAATGCCTTGGTAGCCTACTTAAGCAAAACCAAACGTAAGTCTATAATGCCTCAAGGTTAAAAAAGCGAAACCTAAAGACAACCAATCAAAAACAGCCGGTTAGCCGTTCCCAATGAGGCTATCACTTAAGCTATTGCCAATCAAATAATTTCTTTGCTTTCACCTCTTCTCTATCAAAATCTTTCCTCTAGCTCTTGTCACCTCCCATTTGGAGCTACCTGATTCAAATCATTTTTTGCTCAAATAAACTCTTAAAATGTTTAATATGCCTGAGTTCATACATTAACAATCACAAACCATTAAATTCACCCTTTTAAAATGTACAATTCAGTTGTTTTTAAAATATTCAGAGCTGTGCAACCATCATTACTGCTTAATTTTTCATTACCGTTAAAAGAAACTCCATACCTATCACCAGTCTTTTTCCCATTCCCCCAGCAAACAAGTTTCCTTGGACCTTTTATTGTAAATCTAATGTTTTGTGAATTTTTTTAAAAAGATCTTATTTGTTCATTTATGAGAGACACAGGCAGAGGGAGAAGCAGGCTCCATGCAGGGAGCCTGATGCCGGCGGGACTCAATCCCAGGACTCCAGGATCACGCCCTGAGCCACCCAGGGATCCCCTGTTTTGTGAATTTATAAGAGAACGGTACAATGTGCAGTGTCTCCCAAACTTATTTAATAGCTAATATTTCAGTGCTTACTAGATGCTCTTCTAAATTCTATACATATATTGCTTTATTAATTCTCACAATAAAATCCATAAGGTACTATATATAATAAATGTGGGTATTAAACGCACAAAAAGACTAAGGTCAAGTAACTTGTTCAATATTATATTCTTAATTACTCCACTTGAATGTCTCCCACAAAATCAACTGGTTGTGGGACGAGAACGGACAACCAGTATTCTATGGGCCATAGCTTTGGTAGTGCTTTAGATCAACTTAATGAGAAAAATGGGGCCCAGAAAGGTCAGCTGATGGTAGCCAAGAATACACAGCCATATTCTCATTCTCTCTCCCTCTTTTGATGTCTAATTAACAGCCAAATTTAGAATCCAATTATAATTAACTATCTAATCCCAGGTTCCTGATACAACTCTCTTCCTTCTTAAGTACTCTGTCTTAAAAACAAATAGGGATCCCTGGGTGGCGCAGCGGTTTAGCGCCTGCCCTTTAGCCCAGGGCGCGATCCTGGAGACCCCCGGGATCGAATCCCACGTCAGGCTCCTGGTGCATGGAGCCTGCTTCTCCCTCTGCCTATGTCTCTGCCTCTCTCTCTGTGTGTGACTATCATAAATAAATACATAAAAAAATTAAAACAACAAACAAACTCTTTTAACACTGTAACCTATCTTGTTGGGATTGATTTTGTTCTAGGCGTCTCTCCCTGTAGGCAATGCACTTCTCCACCACTTTGCACGTGTAAATCTAATGTGTGTGCAACTGGGGGGCTCATTCCACTTTCCTCCCACCCTAGATGGACGCCATGTCTCCCTTGGCATCAACTTCTAAAGTCCAGCACGCGGGAGACGCTGAACAATTTCTTACCCGTCCCTGGTTTAGTCCTCAGGAGCAAGCACACAACTGTCCTTAAGCCTACCAGCCTCCAGAAAGCAGGGTCTACTGAGTTTTAATCGATCTCCCGCCGGAGCCCAGCGCTACCTTGGACTCACAGCGCAGCGCACCCGCCGCGGCCGGCAGCAGAGGGGCAGGCTCTTCAGAGACTTGAACCTGGCAGGCTGTGGGGCCCATCAAGGCTCGCCGCCCGAGGTCTGCCCTTTCTGAACTGGGGGTCAAGTTACAATCACTGGCCAGGGCGGCGGTGAGGCGGCAGCACCTCGCAAATGCCATCCAGCCCTCGCGACGGTCCCGGGCAAAGGCACTGCACCCTCTTCGGACGGAGACCCGAGTCCGCTGCGCGGGTGAAGGCGAGAGCAGGGCCCCTGTCCCGTGGGTGACAGAGCAAGGCCTCGAACCCGGGTCACCGTTCCCGGTGCGGCCAATGTTCGGGGCGCAGACGGCGAGGGCGGGGACGGCTCCCCGCTCGTCCCGTCTCAGCGCCCTCGCCCGCCCGCCGGGGCCTCCCGACCCTGGGTCACCCTGCTTGGGCCAGGGCTGGGGGTCGCGCGCACCCCCGCCCCCTGCCTCGCGCCATCTTGGAGCGCGGAGGCGGCCGCCCTGGACCGCCCCGAACCGCTGCTCCAGCAGTTACTCACCCGCGCTGCCCGGGGCCAGGCCCCCTGCCACCTCCGCGACCCCCGCCACGGCCAGGAGAAGCAGCAGCGCGCCTCGCGGGGAGGCCGGGACCGCCGCCATGTCCGGGCCGGGGGGTCCGGAGCCGCGGGATGCTCGGACCCAGCCTGGCCGCCGCCGCTCCTCGCGGAAGCCCCGCCCCGGCGGCCTGGCCCCTTCGTGATTGGCTGCGACGCTCTCAAGCCCCTCCCCCCTCGGCCTCTGGGCGTTTCCAGAACCTGCATGGGGGCGGGAACATTCCCGAGACCCCGGCTCTTTGTTAAGGCCCAGCTGTGTGTCGGCTTCTGCCGCGGAGTCCCGCAGCCAGTGTTCCTTACGTGCAGGGTCAGGAGGTGTCAGAGCTGGAAGGGCCCTTGCAACACCTCTACCACCTCCCGAGGCTTGCACCTGGGATCATTGAGGCTCAAAGAGGAGACCCACCTGCCCAAGGAGACCCACACCGCAAGTTGTCCTGAGAACTAGCGCTTAGTCCAAGACTGAACCAAAGGGACCTCTCCCTTTCATTCCTCTTTACCCGCAGCGAGCCTTTTAATATCCTTTCTGCCCAGACGCTGCCTCACACGCAAAGAAGGCACTCAGGTCAACTCGGCCTCCCCTAACATCTGAGGGGCACTGCCGAAGACACGATCCACTAACGGGGGACCGAGGGACAGATTCATCACCAAAACTATGAGGCATATGTAGCCTCTATGTGTCTTTGATGTACAGTTAAGCACTTAATTCCTATTGGGACAAGGTAGGTATTGGAATGGCTGTGTACCTAGATATGGAGAGCCTTGAATGTCAGGTTTAGATTTTGTTTAAGAGGTAATTTGGAGGTGAGTCCTCACCCCACCCCTTGCCCCCACAGCTGTTGTGGGGCATGTTTGAAAGGGGCCGCTGTTACCAAAGCACCTCTCTCTCTTTCTCTCCGTTCCTGAATTAAAACCTTGTTTTCCCCTCTTTCACATTTTTAAAGATTTTACTTGAGAGAGAGAGAGAGAGAGAGAGAGAGAGAGAGAGCAGGAGTAGGGGGAGGGGCAGAGGGATAAGCAGATTCCCTACAGATCAGGGGCTCCTAGGACCCTGAGATCATGACCTGAGCAGAAGGCAGATGCTTGAAGGACCCAGGCACTCCTACCCCTTTTTAAAAAAAGTATAATCACAGCTACAAATGTAAAATCCCTTAATGTTATTAAACATCCAGTAAGTGTTTACATTTCCCCTATTATCTCATAATTTCCTTTTACAGTTTTTCAAGTTCCAAGGTCCATATATTGAAGTTAGTTTATATGTATTTTAGGTTCCTCTAGTCTCTCTTTTAAGCTTACACAAGGAAAATATAAATTATGATAATCTTTCTAAAACATCTGCTCTGATGACAGCTCTCTTGCTTCGAAGTCTGAGGGGCCAAGTCTGTCTGTTTTCTTCAGACAGAATGATGTACAATCATTTAACATGGGGTCAGAGGTTCTTAGCAATTGGACCCAATCACCTTTTCCAGCTTCATCCCCACACCCTCCCTGAACTTCTGCCACTATTCTTTCGGAACCTCTCACCTTTAGTTCTGGACCTCTGTGGTGCTTTCACCCCTCTGTCACAATATATATATCCTCTGCACAAAATTCCCCAGTTCCTATGGTAATCCACTCAGCTGAGGAAACTAAGATGGTTGCTCTGGGCCCGACTGTGCCCTGGAAGGATCTGAGCAAGAAGTGGGCTTTGTGTCAGGTGACCAACACATCTTGCTTTGATTGGGACTGTCCTGATTTTATTCTTTTTTTTTTTATTTTATTCTTTTTTAAGATTTTTATTTATTTATTTACAAGAGACACACACAGAGAGAGACAGGCAGAGACACAGGCAGAGGGGGAAGCAGGCACCATGCAGGGAGCCCGACATGCGACTTGATCCCATGCACGACTTGATCCCGGGTCTCCAGGATCACGCCCTGGACTCCAGGCAGCGCTAAACCGCTGAGCCACCGGGGCTGCCCTGTCCTGATTTTAAAACAGGAAGTCTCATGTTCCAGAAACTTCTTAGTCCCAGGCAAAACAGGACAGTTGGTCTCCTTAGCTCTGTGCACCTTAGAAAATGTCATAGAGAGGCCTGTAAACAGGTTTCCATATGGAAAAATGGGATCATACAGGTAATAGATACCACTCCCAAGGTAATTCAATTGGTAGACTGATAGTTATAAGCCATGCAGATGGTTCATTAGACCATTGGGTTCCTAGGCTGCCCTAACAGAGTACCACAAACTGGGTGGCTTAAGCAACAGTAATTTATTGTCTCAGAGTGTTCTTGAAGCTAGAAGCCTGAGATCAAAGTGTTGGCAGGGTCGGTTTCTTTTGGGAACTGTGAGGGAGAATCTGACTCATGCCTCTCTCCTAGCTTCTGCTGTGTTACTGGCAGTCTTTGGAACTCCTGGGCTAGTAGACACATCACCTTGATCTTTGCCTTCACTTTTATATGGAATTCTCCTTGTATGTGTGTCTGTGTCCAAATTTATCCTTTTTTTAAAAAAAAGATTTTATTTATTCATGAGAGACACACACACACAAATACAGAGAGAGAGAGAGAGGCAGAGACACAGGCAGAGGGAGAAGCAGGCTCCATGCAGGGAGCCTGATATGGGACTCAGTCCCGGGTCTCTAGGATCACACCCCGGGCTGCAGGTGGCACTAAACCGCTAGGTCACCGGGGCTGCCCCAAATTTATCCTTTTTTATAAGGACCCTAGTCATGTTGACTTAGGGGCACACCCTACTGCAGTATGACCTCATCTTAATAACATTTACAATAATCCCTGTTTCTAAATGGGGTCGCATTCTGAGATACTGGATTTTACGACTTCACCATATGAATATGGGGGAGGCAGGGACACTCAGTTCAACTCATAACGATTTGTAAAGGAAAGACTATCCACCCACCCCATCAGAAATCATTGACTCTGAGAGAGAAGCTGAAGAAGGAGTAGGATAAAGGACTGGTCAGTTGCACTTCACATAAGCCCCCAATAACAGGAGTGGTTGGCCGCACTCCTGTTGACTCACAGAGGTGACACTTGGAGTCTGATGCACAAAGAGAATGCATGAATACTTGGAGATCTCTTAGCTATAGAATCAGAAATGACTTTATTTCCAGGTAATTATTATGAGATATGACAGCAAAGTTGCTCTGGACGAATAAATCCGTGTAGTTATAGTAGTGAAGGTGAGGGGACCTGGCAGGAGAGACAATTTCTCTGCTACTGAGATTTATATTTGAGACAGACATGTTTAAAAAAATGGCTAAAATCTGAGTTGTGATGATGAGCCACCAAATAGAAGCTGCTTGAGATCCTCCCATGCCAAAAGACGGTTGACCAGTCACTATATCCTGGAGGAAGTCAAGAATAGGGACATCGAGGCCCTTTTTTGGCCAAGCATTTTCTGGCCTACTATCTGGCTCAATAACCTTCCTATGGGTGGACTGTACTGAGCAGATAAGATCTGGAAACTACTGATGATTGCCCATTGAGGCAAGTGATCTGACACAGCCTCAGTCACGTTCATTCAGTCACACTAACAAATAGCACATCCATTTTGGGGTTACCTTACTGTATTTTGATGGAGACAATAGCTAATTTCCTGTTTCTCTTTGATCAGACCACCATAAGCAGGTTTCCCGTGAGACAGCAGAAACGTGATGCAGCGTAGAGCATTGGCTAAACACACACCTGAGTCCAAACTTCACTAACTAGCTGTTAATCGTATTAATAGTTCATTGTGTTAACTAGCCTTGTGACCTTGGGCAAAGTCATTTAACTTCTCTGTTTATGTTCCTTTATGTTTATCTTGGACTTCTTGAGAAGATGAAGATATTTAAAATATCTAACAAAAAAAATAAAAAATAAAAAATAAATGTCTAACACGGGGCACCTGGGTGGCACAGTGGTTCAGCATCTGTCTTTAGCTCAGGGTATGATCCCGGGGGCCTGGGATTGAGTCTTGCATTGGGCTCCCCGCAGGGAGCCTGCTTCTCCCTCTGACCATGTTTCTGCTTCTTTCTGTGTGTCTCTTATGAATAATTTTTTTAAAAAATTTAAAAATAAATAAATAAATAAATAGGTAAACTGTCTAATACAGTGCTTGACAGTGAATTATGTTAAACACTGTAGAATTATAATGAAAGATATGGACAATCTTTAACTTGGGTCACAGAACTGACTGGTTGGATTTACTTTCCACCTTGCTTCCCATCTCCACCCCAGGGGAGAAGAGCCAAAACTCTCCAGTTATACTATCTAATATGATAGCCACCAGCCACATGTGGCTCTTGAGTACTGGAGATACAGCAAGTCCAAATTGAAATGTGCTAACACCAGAATTTAAAGACTTAGTATGAAAATAAGAATATAAAACATTATTAAAATGAATTGCACCTGTCTTTTTATTCATTTTTGGAGTTGCTTTTTGTGTGTGAGGTTTTTTGTTTGTTTGTTTGTAAGCTTTGTTAAACAGAGCTTATTTATTTATTTATTTATTTATTTATTTATTTATTTATTGAGCAGTTTTCGGTTTGCAGCAAAATTGAGCAGAAAGTATAGAGATTTCCCATATCCCACCCCCACCTCCACACAGGCACAGGCTCTTCCACTATCAACATCCTGCACTGAGGGGCACATTTGTTACAATCAATGAACCTACACTGACATTATCACCCCAAGTCCATAATTTACACTAGGGTTCATTCTTGGTGTAATTTATACATTTTATGGGTTTTGACAAATGTATGAAGACGTGTAGCCACCACAATTCTTTTTAACTCTTTTTTAGTAAGGCTGTTAGAAAACTTAAAATTACACATGAGGTTCACTTTGGGGCTTATATAGTTCTACAGCATTGTTGTAATTATCTTTCATTCCAAAGAAAGGTTAACACTTAGAGGTCAGTATGGCACTTATAAAATTATTTTGTCCTGTCACTGGGTGCTCATTACATCACTTGCCCTCCTTAATGCCCCATCACCCAGTTACCCTCCCCCTCCTCCTCCCTCCAGCAATCCTCAGTTTGTTTCCTACAGTTAAGAGTCTCTTACATTTTGCCTCCCTGTTTTTATTTTCTTTTTCCTTCCTTTCCCCTATGTTCA